ATGACAATGCTAGCAGTGAAAAGCTGTCACTTTATTAGCTATCACCTTTTGTTTTCGTTATTGTTTAGTTCGTTACCAGTACCTCGCTTTGTATTTTTAAGTTTTAAATCTTTCGTTTTTTTTGTAACCGCCACTTCTGAAGATGCGTGCTGTACGTAGCATGCCAAACGTCAAGAAAATTTTAGATTGTTGTTCTAAACCATGCGTAGTTCATGTGTTATGTTTGTTGCCGCTGTTTGCATTTTATATCTTGCTAAGTAAGGTTATTTTTAAAAGGCAATTTAAATCACGGGTTTCAAACTTCCGATACGAGGACCACCGGAATTTCATTGTGTACATAAAAAGATAATAAATACAGAAACAGTGAAAAGAAAAGGAGAGAATTGGAGTGGAAACCATCAAATTCTCTAGCCAAGAAAGAGGCATCTGCGCGGCGTCTGCTAAACACGATCTCACTTTCTAACTTTGTCTTGTATCAATTCTTTGAACTCGCCGGCAGCGCTGTTGTGACCGATGCATGATCGCAGTCATAAATACCTCTCTCAGCATTAATCTACATGTGAGCAAAGCCCAAACGCAAAATACTACATATTTACAAAAGCAAAATGGCCCATTTAAACCTTCATGGTCTCCCAGAAACTCGTACCCAGGTTCTTTGGTAGATCGGACCAAGACTTACTCCTTTCTAGTCCCACTTAAAACCTGCCAAACATGAGTTGAAGACTCTTGGACAGAAACAACTCTTAGCAGGAGAGGAGCGGGGGGTNTGATCCAGGTTTAATGAATAAATTAACTAGAATGGAGTAAGTGAGCAAATGCCATGAGCTAAAAATGGTGAACAAGTTTCCCATCACGATGATGGTTACCTCAAGTGTAACGATTACGACGAACACAATGGCGGTTGTTGAAACAAGTATGATTTCGTTTTCTTGCTTACTGCGTGTATTTTTGTTCTGGCGTTCGTTATGCTCCCTTAAAACACCTTTTACAAAGGATTTCATGCGTCTTTTGAGAAGACTAGCAATCTCTGGACAAGTCTGCAATTAATTTTCTTTTCCTCACGAACGAAGACAATAGGTTTCGACAGCTGGTAGTTACATAAGATGAAGTGTGATTAAGAAAATGATATCATCTCTAAAACATATTTAACTAAATTTCTAGATCACAATTATTTGTGTCATTTGTCCGCAGCCTTAATAACAAATCAAAATATACACTACTTCTTGTTTTTTCGGTGAATGAAAAATGCAATACCTCTTTATTTTCATTATGGCTAAGTTTCCATGGTTATTCTCCCAAACCATCTGAATTACAAGAGATGCTCGTTCTAAGAATTTTTCAAATTGTAAAAGAGAATAATCAACGATTTATTCATTTTTCAATATTCAATTGGTATCTAGGGGTCTTTTCTCGATTATTTTTTTTTATAAATTTGAGTATGCATACATATACAGTGATGTAATCAATGAAAAGAAAAGCTGACCGTTGTTTGAATTTTTTTCTTTTTACTTTTTGAAATGTCTTTTTGTTTGAATACAGACGGCTCTGAGTAAATATACAATAATAATTCACAGGGTAATCTCCCAATAAGGTACATGTGTTACTAAGAATAAACGTATCACGGAGACTCAAATGGTTTTCTTATGAGCTCAAAAACATCAAGGCTTATGATATTGCTCTTTTGCGTTATCCTGTTCAAATAATTACTTCGCCGGTACTCTAACGATTTAAACGTAAAGTTTTCATAACTGCTTGATCAAAGTTGTGGTACGGCATTATTGTCTCTTACATATATATATATATATATATATAAAATTACAAACGCTATATTTTATTTATTTTTTCCTGAAAGAGCTTAAGGAGGTGATTCTATTTCATTTTTGCCTTTGAATGCAAAGAACTTTATCAATCGCGCATCCCATGAGCAAAATTAACTTAATAGCTTAATATTCTAGGCCCTTAGGTCCAGACCAATGTATTTGTACATCTATAAAGCAGTAGTTGACTCCGCCTGTGATGCGAGAGATGAGGATGAAATATTCGCAGCATCAGATTGGAATAGCAAATGCTCGCTGATATATAAATCCACCCATGGCTTTCTGCCCAACATTCTGGTCGGGGACAGACTCAGACTTAAAGACTAAATAAAAATAATAATAATAAAAAAAGAAAACAGCAAGACTAAATATGGAGGTCTCGCAGAGATACTCGGTGCCGGGTAAGAATATTGAGATATCGAACGTGGGCTGTTGATAAAGAATAACCGGCACGTTTTAAAAGCTTTTCCCCTTTTGCATCAACTAATAATTAAAACTACGGTCGCATTGGTGTATCCAAACGAACAATTGCATCTGCGTTTCCTTGTTTTAGTCTGTTATTTTGTAGTTTTTGACATTCACCTGGGAAAAATTTAAATTATACTAAAACAATTGCTCGCCTCAGGCTCAGTGAACTTTGGTGAATAGTTACCTTGACTTCTTGTCGGTCGGTAAATATTCACCAATGTTCACTGAGCCTGAAGCGAATAATTGTTAGTTATAAATTACCCTCCTACCCTTAGGTTGTTAAATTGGTATGGAGTTTTTCGTCCTCACACTAACAAGGCTGCCTTGTTTATTTTCGTGATTGTGCTGAGCTGAATGGATTTGGAACACCTACTGGTTTAAAACAAATTTTATATCATAAATGAACGATCCTGACAGACTTTGCATGTTACCTTTGTAAATAATGCAGACACCGTCAACGTATCTATTTAATCACCTGTGTTACATAGCTGCAAGGGAAAACGAAACATAAAATCCATACTCGACCTGTCAGGGTTTATAAATACGTCTTCAGTTAATATTTTTGTACTCACGTTGCTGTAACGCTAAGCAGAAGAACAGCATTTTACAGCTCATAAAGAAAAATTACCTAGGTGATCAAGATATTCACATGTGAAATAAACTAACTTATTTCCAGCTTAATTTACAAATGATTTTCGTCCGAATTCACATCTTGAATATTCGACCTAATTTATTACTTTGTGACACGTATTTGCATGTCGATCAGGGTGAGAAAGCTGTTCCTTTTCCCCCACCCTATTAAAACTGTTTATTCAATGATTATTGATTATTCGCTTTCGCAATAAGCAGAGCTCTCCTTTGTTGTCTATAATTGTAGTTCGTTCACAACTTTGCAGACATTTTGCGTGGTGTTTGCTTACTGTTGATCGTAAGTCAGAAGGTAGAAGAACGTTTGAAGCATAACGACAAGGACATCATGGCAAAAGCAATCGCCATTACATTTATTGTTGTAATCGTAACCGAGGCAATCGTCATCATCATAGGAAACACGTTCACCATTTTTGTCTTCTGGACTCAGAGATTCCATCTCAAGCGAATTTGTTTTCTACTGATCAATCTCGCGGTGGCTGATCTACTTGTGGGAATAGCAGAACCCATTGTCCTCGGAGCCGATACATTTGACAAAATGGTATCGCTTGGAAAAAAGGAAGGCAAAATAATCATTCTTTCAACTGCTTTTCAAGTCCTTGGTTCAAGTACATCGGTGTTCTTTCTTGCCATAATCTCACTGGAACGAGTTTTCGCCGTGTTGTGTCCTCTTCGTCACCGGGTAACAAGTATTCGCCCTTACATTTGTAGCATCTTTATGAGCTGGGCAGCTGGATTCTGTCTGGCTGGGATCTTCTTATTAGATACATACCACAGAGAAGTCGGTAGGTTGTATGCTGCTGTGGTTATTCATTCGTGCCTTTTGGTATCTGGGTTGGTTATCTGTGGAAGTTACCTCACGATCCGTAGTCGACTGCGCTCTGCACCACGTGATCTTCAGGTGCACAACCGAAATTTAACTGAGCGGAATTTACGACTTTCTAGGACATTGTTTATAGTAGTTGCTGTGTCACTTGCGTTTTGGCTGCCAGGTTTTGTAGCGTACGTCTTAAGAGAGTTCTGCTGGGAATGTATCTCTCCG